GCATTTAGCTATTCTATTAGCTTTTAACTACTGTTTTGTTTGTTTTAGCTACTGTTCAGCTGGTTTTAGCTTTTAGCTACTTTTGTGGTTTTTAGCATTTGGCTACTGTTCTAATAAATTTAGCTCATGGTTTCTGTTCTGTTGGTTTTAGCTTTTTAGCTACTTTTGTGTGTTTTTTTAGCATTTAGCTACTGTTCTACAAAATTTGGCTCTTATTTTTTTTAGCTATTTTTGTGCTGGATTAAACATTAGCTACTATTCAACTAGCTTTTAACTACTGTTCTGTTTGTTTTAGCTACTGTTCACCTGGTTTTAGCTTTTAGCTACTTTTATGGTTTTTAGCATTTAGCTACTGTTCCACTAAATTTAGCTCATGGTTTCTGTTCTGTTGGTTTTAGCTTCTCTTTTGCTGTTTTAGCAACTGTTTTAGCTAGCTAAAACTAACAAAACAGTAGCTAAAACAAACAGAACCACTATATTATCTATTTTAGCAGCCTTTCTGCTAATCTCAACTTGTAACTACTGTTCTGTTTGTTTTAGCTATTGTTCAGCTGGTTTTAGCTTTTAGCTACTCTTGTAGGTTTTTATAACATTTAGCTACTGTTCAGCTGGTTTTAGCTTTTAGCTACTTTTGTGTGTTTTTGGCATTTAGCTTCTGTTCTACAAAATTTAGCTCTTATCTGTTTTTAGCTATTTTGTTCTGGATTAAGCATTTAGCTACTATTCAACTAGCTTTTAACTACTGTTCTGTTTGTTTTAGCTACTGTTCGGCTGGTTTTAGCTACTTTTGCATTTTTTAGCATTTAGCTACTGTTCTAATAAATTTAGCTCATGGTTTCTGTTCTGTTGGTATTAGCTTCTCTTTTGTTGTTTTTAGCTACTAGCTAAAACTAACAAAACAGTAGCTAAAACAAACAGAACTACTGTTTTAGCAGCCTTTCTGGTTCTTCTATGAATTTTAGCTCTTTTGGTGGTTTGCGCAGCTATTCTGCTATAGGTTCTAAACAGTTGTTTCCAATTTTAGCTACTTTTGCAGTGGTTTTAGCCACTATTATAACCAGCTTTACCTCTTAACTATAGTTCTGTTAGTTTTAGCTGTGCAGATTTTGTTCAGCTTGTTTGTATTTAAACATGTTGACATAAAATGCAGATAATTTTGACATTACTTCCTGAGTTATTTTCAGAACAATAAACTCAGCTGCAGATCCGGACCTGACAGGTTCTTCTGCACGCACACGCAGATCCATTGAAGGCACCCAGAAGAGCAGACCTTACCATGAAGCCCGGCGCCTCCTGGACGTCCTCCGTCGGAACCGTGAGGAGCAGGATGGCAACAAGTCCGAACAGGAGGAGCGCGAGAGGGAGGACGGGAGKGGAGCAGCGCTGAGCCATGAGGGGGAAACTGAGAAGATCTGCTGGAAACAGGAGCTGCTGCCTCTTTACACTCAGGGGGAGCAGCTGAAACAGCCTCATGGTTCCTGTCAGTATCATAAAATATTACATAAATATTACATGTTGGTGTGAAACTGAGCAGAAATCACCTCACTAAGGTTTCCAGATGATGTTTGCATGTGAATGAGCTGCAAACTCTCCTCATTTGAATATCAGACAACAGCAGAGATGTCCAGTTTCACCAGAAACAGAGTCACCACCACCTGAAGCCGTGTGCGCGCATGCGCAGAAACAATAAAGTCTTAATCTTTTACTCGCCTGTTTGATTATATATTAT